TCATGCCTTTGGACCTGGAGCCAGACATCATTTACAATGAAACACTTTTGAACAGGCAGTGGGGGTGGCACCGTACCGATGGCTGGGTGACATGGACCTCGGAACGACCCAAGTCAGAGCTCAGGCCGCCTAACACCGACCTCCACCTTCCGAATTCGAAACCCTCCTCAGCTTCTGGCCAGCATGGTGAACACACAGCCCAGGGCTTTTGCCCTGCTGTCCAAGGCACCGAGGTTTCGCGAATTCCTGGCAGGGTGCTGCAGGCAGATCCCCATGGGGTCCAAACCCTCCAAAAATGGAACCCATGCGAGGCAAACCGAACAAAGCCAGCAGGCAAGACATCAACCCCGTGTACTGCTTGTTGCATCCGTCACTGACCATCCAGAGCAACCTGCTCCATTGCTCTCAATCATCCCGAAACATGGCGGGCAAAGGGGATCAACTGCATTCCCAATCCTTGCGACACACTTGAAAAGCCAGCGCCTCTCAGCTCGAGACTTCAAGTCAGGCCAAACCTACAGCAAAAGGTCACAGTGAACGCAACTGATCTCGTCTCCTCATGCTGAGGCTTCGGGCTGGTAGCAAGCGGTAGCCTCGGCGAAGGGTGTAAATCCCCGGAAGTTTGCACAACGTTCTTACACATTTTTTGCAGCGTGTACTTTTCACTTTGCTCTACCTTCCGCTCTCATGGATTTCTCACCTTGCACAAAGGCGCACGAGCATGCGCAGCTTCCCAGATTACGCCACGGCACTGTGCGGGTATTCCTCGTACTGCAGGAGGGACAGGCTTTCAATGGTGAAGACCCTGGCCACATGCGGCTTCTGCCAAGAAGAACTTCACGGTAGCACCGAAAGCGATGCCGGGTCCGCTTCTCACAGCCCGCACCATCGGCAAAAATGCCCAGAAAGTCTGTGGCTCGACTGGCCGCGTTGCAGAAGCCAAGCCTTCGAGACTCACCACTTGCTGGTTGACACACAATTATCTTAAAGCGGCATCCCTGTACGATGGCATGATGAACAATGTGCCATTTTCTGGAACACCCGGTGTCTGAGTGGGAAGTCCGCCCTCTCGGCCTGTTAAGCTCCAGGGACTTCTCGAAGACTTTCTCCGAGGACGTTTTGCAAAGATGCATGGTGGATGTGTGGTCCTGCCATTTGGCATTCTGATGTACCAAACCCTCTGGTATGGTTCCAAACGCAGGCAGAGCATCCTGATGAATCTGGAACACCACTCGCATCAATTCACCCTCCAGAAAAGCAGCCTGACACAATGCTGACTGACCGCCGCCATGTCACACAGTTACTATGATTAAAGTGCACAGATGTGTACGGCTTCCAGTTGCTTAGAGCCCTTCACTGCCTCATCGAGATACTCCACCTGTGGCTCACCGAGTCCACCTGATCTTATCAGCGGGCATTTACGGGGTCGTTGTGCTATTACGTGCTAGCAACTGCGGTGGTCAAGAATCGTCTAATGGTCTAGGAGCGTTCAAGTGCTGATAGGGTTTCTTTGCACAAAACAAACTTGTCAAGAGGTTGAGAAGTGGTACAATCGTTTCTCGAAGAAATTCTAAGCAGCCTGGCGCACCAAGGCCAACAACACCAGCAAAAAGCCCAGGCAGTGGCACCCGGTGCTTCGCTTGGCAGAAACGAGCCGTTGATGCGTACCAGGAAAAGCACAGAGTGAGCTGAGCCCAGTGCTGTATGCCTAGACAATATAGTTTGCAGACTGATGCATCGGCATGCTGTACATGTTTTCACGCTGGTGACAAAAACTCCTGGCTACACAGTACTTGTCCAGAAAATGCAGCAACGCAAGATTTCTGACCATTGTCAGACACAGAAACAATGGTCGCCTCAGCCCTGAACACAAAACTGACATGATCGCCCACCTCACTCCCCCTTCGAGATTCGGGTCTTGACGACCCCCTCAAACCCCGCCGTGCTGGCAAACAGCCCGTCCCCTCCTGCCGATGCCAACCCCACTATCCCCGTTTTTACCACGACCTTGTTCTTCACAACGGGCCGATACAACAAGCATGAAAAGCACCGATGACGGCACCCTTCTCTCGTGAGCTGTCGAACCTGCATGCGTGAATGCATCGAAAAGAGCGAAACGTGTGTCAGGCTGGGATTTAGGATTCTTGAGTTTCAAGCAACAAGACCCCTGGCTTCACCAGGCCTTTGACTTGCAGGATTCGCGGGTTTGGGGCTTGAGGACGAGATCTGGGGCTTCTTTGTGTTTCTTGCCGTGCGCTTTGTTGCATATGCGCACTTGGGCGTGGCTCGGAGGTGTTCCGGCTTCGACTTACCGGGCGATGTCACTTGCTCATTTGGCATGATGATGTACGAACAAAAGGAATAAATCACATGCGCGCACTGCGTTCATAAGCTGCAGAGGCAAGCTGAACAGGTCAACACAAATGAAATGCTCGTCAGTTTGTGAAGTAGAAACCTTATCACGGTGTCATGGTCGGGGAGCATCACACAAGATCAGGAAACAGCATTTATGCCTCCTAACTTGTTGCGGGCTCTATTACTTGCAAAATTCAAGCTGCTTGAAAGTGTAGAAAAGCGAAGGAACAGCCGTGGCTGTTGAAGGTCACGTCGTTTCTTGAAAACGCATGGGTTCTTTCAGGCTGGTGCGCTTGCTCGTGCTCCTGGGCCCGGGCCGATCAATGTGTAACATCGGCGAAATTGCCCAATATCTGTCATGTCCATCTCAGGGACGAAGTACACCTCAAAAAGCATGCAGCAGCTTGTGCGTGCACTCCACAATCCCCCCAGTTGCACGCATCGCACCAGCCTCAATCTGGCCCAGCCGGAAACCAAACCGCTTCTCGACACGCTTGTCCTACAGACTCCAGTGCTGCAATCGCTTGGCGACGGGGTTTTAGCGGCTTCTGCACGACTTGACGCAAGCACAATTGGAGCCGAAAGGGTCGAGGTACTCAAGAAGAGCAAGGATGGGCCGTGAGAGGGCTAATGAGGAGCCTGACTACAAATCGGGAGACACAATGTGTACATATCTGGAATCCTGTCAGCGACGTTGCAGAGGAACAAACCCCATCCTTCAAGAGAGTTGACAAGAAACCCCGAATGATCTACACCAAACAAAGCATCTCTGCTGGCCTACCGGTACATAGGGAGGCCAGGCGGACGCAACGCAAGGAAGACGAAAGCGAAGAACATCAACAATGTAAAACGGCGTGCTGAAAGCTATCAACAACGGGCGACTCACTCATCCCTCCCACCCCCGACAGACTCAACCAAACTGCGCGAAGATGTCCCTTGGCATGAGGAGCAACTACACAAGTCCTTCCATGAAACAAACGCAGTGCTTCTTCAACCTTGTCGGACCAGTTCAGAGGCCAGAGTGGCCAAAGCGAAATCCAAATTTGAACAGGATGGCTCCCCTTGCAAGGCATGGAATGGGCCAACAGCATGCCGACCGAGTGCGAGCTGAACCTGCGCTTCTTGGAATGGCAACTGATTCAACTGATGTCCTCTCCCAAGTTGTCGATGGAGAAGTAGAAGGACACGGTCATCTCGCCTGCACTCTTTACAGACAATGGCTCAAGTGTAAGATCGACCTGCCAAGACCCAAGCGCAGAGAGCCAAAGTTCAGAGGTGGTATGTACCTGGCGAAACTGCTACTGGTAGCGTGGCATTCCACTGCCGTTGCACCCGAGAAAGATGCCAGGCTGGCAAGGCTGCATAGCTGTAGGATGTAAATGACAGCTGTCCATTCCTAGGCCACCGTGGAGCAACGAAGAGCAACGAAGCCTTTCTGTGAAATTCATTGGAATTCTGAAGTTGCCTTGAGACGCCTTGAGGCGATGGCTTGACTACCGCATTGTCACGAGCTTGGACGTCGCACTTAAAGAAGGTGTACCTCGGCAATCGGACATCATCAGGCCATGAACGCACCATTGAGGGACAGCACTTGGGCCCAAACTTCTCCGTGAAATCCCCAAAATCACTTGCCGCGACCTTGCCATTCAATGGCCAGCACAGCCACCCTCACTAAATCGTCCATTGGAGCCGGTGCAGCTCCTTGAAACCAAGCCCGCAACATCCAAAGGTAGCACATCAAGACGAGAGTACCTGCAAGGAGCAAATTTCCGTCTCACAAAATGCAAAACGTCGCCAATCGATTGGTTATGCTTGTCGAGCCGGCGCACTTGAGCACGCGCTCAATCAGATGTGGATGTTCCTCCAAGATGTATTGAGTTGCCTCAATGGCATGTGAAAAAGGTTCCGGTTGCTGTGGTTATTCAACAAGGTCGACGTGCTTCTTCTAAGCTAAGCAAAACTGCTATTGATGTCCAATTCAACAGAGGCTTGCGCAACGGAGCTGTCATAGCCAGAAAGGACCTGTCAAAGCGGCGCACGTTTTTGCATCTCACAACATCCGCCATGACATGCACAGCTGCATGTGCCTCATGCATGCGGTGGAAAGCATCACAAACCTCTCGATCATTCCAGCCCTCCAAATTCTCCTCGCATCCAAGACAAGGCAGATTCTCGGAAACCGCTTATTGTGGCAAGATGCATGTCTTCCAGATTCGACAAGCACGAAGCATGCTGAGTGCCCCGCAAAGGCTCGAAGAGCCCTGAAACGATGACGAGACATGCTTTCACAGCATTGTGAACTAGAGTAACTAGAGATCTGAGAGAGCAGCTCGAAATGCTCGTGCTGCAGGGCGCTGGCCATGGTTTCCCCAGGCCGAGCCCTTCAACAGCTTCACGCATCTGTCCAAAACTTGTCATGAATCTCTCAGGGCATGACCTCTTGCGTCAATATCAAGCAGGTCCGCAGGAGCGTGTTGCCTGACAGCTGAGCATTCAAGCATGCAGCAATGATTTCATTGAAGGAGCAGATAAAAACAGGTGTGCTTCTGCCGTGCTGGCATGAAAGAACACTGGTCTGGTCCACAGCAACTCGGCAAAGGATGGGTGTCGCGGCTTCGTGATATCAACAGTACCCTGATTTTCTTTCATTTCTTGCGTGCGACGATCCGCATGTAGGTACAGGCTGCAACGCCATAAACACTGTGGGACTCGCCGATTTCGACCGGGGAAAGCCCTGTTGCACGGACCCACTTGCCAATGTCGGTACAAACTTCGATATCGAAGTCTTGAGCTTTCAGGCTGTCCAAGAGATCGCGCAGGGCCAAAGGCATGAAAGCGTCGCAGAGTAGTATCAGCCCGTTCGGTCGCAGCACTTCTCTTGCTGACTGTGCAAACGCAGTCTTGTCCTCGATGTCCGTCTCAACACAAAGCAAAGCATCAAAAGCATCAGCCCCAAACTGCGTGTGTAGAGACCCCATGTCTGCCTGCTCGTACCGCAAATTCGGAGGTAGAGGCATGTGGATCGTGTGGATGCTCATACATGCGCTGATGTTGTCTTGCAAAGCATCGGTGGCAACGTATTCCCGCGGCTGAGCGACTTCAGCTAAATATCTCGCACCGCCACCTCTCATGCAACCGACCTCCAACACAGACTTTTCTCGGAGATGGTCCTCCCTGACATCAAGAATCGACTCGCCCGACGTCATGGCAACGTGCCAGTACAAGGCTGCTCCATACATGTGCATCTGCCATTCCCAAGAGCCTTTCGGGAAGCCTTTCCACAACACTATGTCGGGACGGGGGATGGGCATTCCAAACTTACCTCCAGAGTTGCAAATGTCAAGAATGGGTGGGTAGGTCGATGCATTCGCCTTGCCGAACCACCTCTCCATCTGGAAAAAAAAACGGCTCATCAGTGTCTCTGGCAAATAGTTCCGCCAGTCTGGGAGCTCTGCAACATATCCACGCTTGGGATTCTTCCTGGCCCAGTACGTCCTCTTCCCGACAAACCAATGCCTTGAGGAGACAAGAGAAACATGCGTCCGGCGGAGCACTCCGCGGGCTTTGCATGGCAGCATGGTTATATTCGATGTCCTTTTGCAAACTTAGTGCCGCCCTTTGAGCACAGAGGCAGCTGTCGACTTCGGTCGTGACCCGATGTCATTGATATGTTGAAACTGTGAATGGCTGGGGTGCAAAAACATCAACGTGGCAAGGATATTCCGGCCTGTCCGTGCGCAACGTCTTTGGCGCCCGACATCCTGAAAGCAGGTACACGTCCATACAGAAGCATAATAAAGAGGCATCAGCGCACGCCAACCTAGGCAAGCTGCAACTGTCAAGCACAAATTCAACTCACGCCTGGCATGCACGGTCATCTGCCGCAGACCTACCTATGCTGCTTTTGTTGCATCTGTCTTCAGCGACACTGCACGCTAAGAGCTGCGTGCTAATGGCTTATTACATGTGTACTACCACGTCAGTCGCCAGCTACGGCGGACGGCTTGTAAAGGATTGCCAATGTGCATGAAAAATGTTCATCTGTTTTTCGTGCGCGGGCTGCAGGACAAGAATACTGGGCCAGAGGCTCACAAGCATGCGCACTGTACGGACCATGTCACTTCACCATGCCTCGCTCCAAAGCACAGTTAGTACTTGTTAGCTTCCCAGGTTCTTGCAAGTGGACGACCTCAGAAGATGTTTCAAGAGACGGCAGCCTGGAACTTGGCTCACCGCAATGGATTCTTGAGTCCCCTTTGCCTCCAGGTTTGCCCGTGATCGTTGCCATGCGAGGCGCGCAGCACGGCTGAGAATGCCTTGCAGCGTCCTGGCGCTGTCCAAACAGCATGCGCGTGAAAGCGTCGAATCTGAGAACGCCTCGTTGCCACCTCTGTCGTGAAAGCCTGAATGTCGTCTGAGTGTGGAGCAAAGCCACCTCATCAACGCAACATGAAGAATGGTGGGGGACTTTTAAAACCACGGAACAATCGGAAAATCATAGTTAGCTTCGAGAATCGGGAAGTTGTATGCTCCAGTTCCCGACCTTCTGCTAGAATTTGTTGAATGATCGGAAGTACCTGACATCTGAAACAATGTCACCAGACGTCACCATTCGACTGTAAGCACAATTGAAAGTACGACACACACCGCTGCTTGATGGCACTCAACGTTTCCCGAATCTCCAGAATTAAAACCGTCAAGATGCTGCATCTTTGCGTTCCGCCATGTCATGAAAATGAGATGCGGGAAAACGTTGAAGATATCTTTGCAACGCCTACAGCACATGAGATGACGTCGATGCCGATGCCAATGCATGTAGCAAACTGCAACAACACACCTTGAGCAATCAATCAACAATCAACAATCTTTGAAACATCGGCGGCAGAAGGGGAAAATGCGGAGGACTTGCCGTGAAAAACATACTGGTTTCAACAAAAATCTACAGGTAAGTGATGTTTTTGCTGTTGCCGGGAGCTCATTTAACTACTTTGGCAACCCGGTATTTTCAGAGACTTAGGCCAATGTGCTTGATCAATTCACAGGCAATGTACCAAAAGCCTTAAATTACGAACCTGCTTATGCGTCGAAAGTTTCATTGCTCGTGCTTGTAGAGCAGCACTTTTACAAACACCCACGTTATGGGGAGCGTTTAGCCGCTTATGAAGGAATGTGCATTTGGGATCGCCGACGCCTGTGGAGCCTAACTAGCCAGTGCAGTATCAGCTAACTAAACCAATTGGATAAGAAATGTCCATCCATTACATATCTTGTAATGGCAATGTTTCTTGCAACGGTCCGGGTGGATTCGTGGAGCGCCTTGGCAATTTGATGCCTGTTTCCAGCAGAGGCAGTCATGGAACAAACCAGCACTCCTGCGCCGTGGACTTGTTGTGCAGTGTCGTTGCCGCGCCGCCTTTTACAAACTTCGGACTCCGCCATCGCGGAGCAAATGGGCACTGGCGGACGCCTTCGAACTCGGAGGTGTGATCAAACATATTGTTTTTGCCATATCTACTCTTCTCAAAACGCGAATGATTCACGCTGTAGCACGCAAGACGGTCGACTGCTACCATATTCAAAACTTGGGATGAGGCACTTGGGATCAAACATTTTGTTTTCGAAAAGAACACTGTGACGGGAAACAGTGACTGCGAAAAGACACGGGTATGACCGAGCATGACCGGGCCTGACCGGGCATGACCAGGTATGACCCCATGCGCGGGCATGCCCGTGTATGCCCTAAACACAGACCCAAACCCAAAAACACCGCCAATCCAAAACGCACAACCCACAAGCCAAAAAAAACAAACCCCAAACCCCAACACTTACAACCCCAAACCCAACAACTTCAACCCGAAACCTTCAACCGCCCTGGCTCGCTAACCCCCAAACCCAAAGACCCCAAAACCCAAAAACCTTAACCCAAACCGTAACTCCCTCGATCCAAAACCCCAGAGCCCCAAAGCCCCCAAACCCTAAGTACTCAACCCCAAAACCCCAAAGCCCCGAACTCTAAGCACAAGACCAGGATAACTAGAAATTGCGACATCATTCTGAATTTACAAAGTTCTTTGTCCAAACAAGCTGGCACTGCACAAAACCGACTGATCCAAAAAGAGCCTGGAAGAAAAATGTTCACTTTACTGAAACAAAGGCTTCGAACATCTTCTAGATTGCTTTGTGCTCCACAGATGCTGCAAGGGAGCCCCACAGCCGCGGCTAAGCAAGAAAAAACGCTCCTGCCAAGGCCGGCGGTGTTTGTTTTTTGCTTGCTCCTGGCGGAGAGAGACAGCCACGGCTAAGCAAAAAGTACTACGAAAAGTTGCACAGCCACGGCTAGGAAAAAAAAGAACGTTTCCGCCGCCCCTTAACGAGAGCCCTAGAGGCGTTGCAGGAGCTGGAGAAGCTCTTCGGTGCCTCACATCCCGAGCCTACTGCGGCAGAAAGTGTTGTGCAATTGCAGATACCCGGTGTAGGTTGTGATGGTTTTAGGGGCCTAAACCCTAAAGGAGCCGTTGTCTATTTCTCACTGGCTCCCGCGCCGAGTGGTTTTGACTGTGAGCTTAGACACAAGCCTCGAAACAGAAGCCTGCTTAGAAGAGGGAAGACCCCAAACCTACAGCCAGGCCTCAAGAGGCCGAGTGGCGCCTAAGGGATACGCTGGGGAGGCTCCAAAGCTCCGAAGGCCGAGACCACTGGAAGGTGCAGCTCTGCCAGGACCGTGAGTTGGGGGCAGGGGTTCATGTAGGATGCAGGGTTTAGGGGTTCAGGTGTTAGGGTGTAGCGTTACGGGGTTTCCAAGTTTCGGGGTTTATGACTTTAGAGTTTTTTCGCTTGTAGGCGCCAGGACATGATTCGGCAGGTTGCAAGCTTCTGGGGCTGGTGGCCTCTCATATGGAAGTCACGTCCGCTGCTGGTCGTGCTCCTTGCGATCTTGTGGAGGATGTTGGCAGCCGACACCACGCTTGAGCTTCACCTGGTGCTGGCTGCAGGCCAACTATTCTTAGTGATCCTAGTGCTCGGCGTCGGATTTTTCTTCCTCCAGAGGAGTCGTGCCATTCCCGCTGCGGGGCTCGAAGGAGAAATGGGGAATTCGCTTTCGTGATCAGCGTCACGAGGCTAGAGCCTTTGCGCTAGGTGTGCAGTCGCTGGCTGCATACTTCCTGCTTAGTCTTCTATTTTCCATCTTTTGGTTCATCTTGGATGCAATCAGCACGCAGGAGGAGTACGAGGACCTAAGCAACTGTTGAACCATCACTATCATGTGTACGTATGAATCGGAACCTTGTGCATCTACAGATTGCATCGGAAGGACTCTGCGATCGTGTCTTGGGGCCATCCCACGGCCGTGTGTGGCTGGTCAGCTTTGGAGGTGCTTTGGCTCATGTTCGACGTCACCGAGCTCATCGACCGCAGCAGTGGGTGGGCATTGCTCGCAAGGCTCTTTCCGATCCGAGTCCTGCGCCCGGCGTCCCTGCACATGCACCTACATGCCATGCGGCAAATTAGCAGCTGGGGCGAAATTGCTGGGCCTTGTGCCTGGCTCTTCTTTTTCCTTTGCGGTTTCCTGCTGCGCAACCTCGCTGACCATCTGCAAGCCCTTGTGCGGAATGTGTCGGAGCGTTTCTGGCCAATGGACGGAAGGCGCTTGCACAAGGCCCGCCGGACAGGCCGTGTGGTCCGTCAATGTATATATTGAGACGATTTGGTGCCTGCTCTTCGCTGCATTCCTGGCGATCGGGGAAGATTGTCATGGCGAGTACGTTGTGTCTGATGCTGTTGCTTCCGCGAGGTTTTGCAATGGCGACTATCACTTTGCCGGACAATACGAGGAAAGGCCCTTCTACACGAAGAGCGTGGGTGTCGGTTTCATTTACTTCTGGGGCACATCTGGTCGATGGAGACTTTCCGACCAGAATGACACGCTGGTTGTTACGGCCGATTATGTGCCACTGGGCACTGCAACCCCACCGACCGAAGGTGATTGGGTACTGTCCGAAATGGCGGGAAGGCCATGCGTCTGCAAGGATGAGCACCCAACATCTCTGTGTGCCACGAGCCGACGTGCGAAGGTCACCATTAGCTAATGATGAAGCTTTAGGCTTAGAGATTCAGAGCTCAAACTTCGGGTTGTCTCTCTTCAGCTTACTAGCTGAAACCTTGCACACGGAATAGCTCACCACCCCTCAGCAGGCGATCTGATCGTGTCGGAAATTGGGCCTTTGCAGAGCCATGGCAACGGGCAGTATGCGCACGCGGAGGACCACAACGCCAGGCCCTTCTTCAGGCAGATCGGTGGAGATTCCATAATCTACTTCAGCACCATATGGAAGATCAATACCCACTCCAACTCGACGTCCCAGCAAACCTTCATCGCTCCAACGTCACCATTACCGCCCGTCGGGCAGTGGGTGACAGAAGGCCGGGATGTCATATGATGTTTGCATAGCCCATGAGGTAGGACGGATTGTGCCTCGCAAGCCCTTTACCTTGGACTTTGAACTCCCAATTGTTATGAATTGTTGAAACCTCCGAAACCTACGGCCCTAAACGTTCTGGCAGATATTCATCGTCCAGA